ACTGAAGACGAGGAGTACGAGTTCAACCACCAGTACCGTGCCATGCCGTACTGATTGACACCTGTGAGTTTCTATTATTTATTTTTTATTTATTTATTCATTTATCTATTTATGCACAACACACAGACAGTACACAGGAGAGCATATATATAAATAAATTGGAGGTACATAGGTACTACATATTCCCGTAGGAATCTCTTCCTGCAGTCCTTCAACAGGAAAAACGGTAAAAACTAAAACACTGTGCGTAACATGACATGAAGAAAGAAAAATAACCTTTTTCTTTGTTCATGTCATATTTATCAAAATTTATGGACTTATAGTAGGGTACATTAATCCAAATACGACGGTCTACGACGTGCTACATCATTGCTTACCACCAGGCAAGATAGTGGTCAAACGTCGGCCCATCAAATATATAAATAAATAATAATAATTAACTAAAAATCGCGGGCTACTCACGTGAATATACTGAGAAAGCTCTACTAGTTTCGAACCACAAAGGGGTTCTTCCTCATGAGCAGCGTGCAGCCCCTCTGTGGTTTGAAGTGGTTTGAAGCTAGTAGAGCTTTTGCTTATTATTTAGTATGTCTCACGATAGTTATTATAACAACAAATAAAAATAATATTTCTATGAATTTTTAGTACTCAGTCTTTAATCAATACGTTATTGATTCGCATTATTCAGTTTAAAAATAATATAATACATTTTTTAACTAAACACAATGATCTGTCTTCACAAATTTTTCATCATATACAAAATACATAAATATTTTATTAATGAACAACAGATTTTTTTTAAGGGGGGAAAGTCATCGAATGACTGCTCTCGCCTGGGTGAGGCGGGAGGGAGTGTCAGACTCTTACTGACTAAAAACCACCCCGTTCCTTCTCCTGCACGTTGATCCGGAGCCCCGGTTACTCGTTAGGTTCTAACGGATAAGATATAAATTTTCCGCTAGGGCATTGCACCTATGTTAGTATTTATTTTGCTAATGCTATGCTGTGCGATTTGAATCTAGATAATCTACACGTGCAAAAACCTAACGATGTATTCATTTCTCTAATTACCAAATAGTTTTGTATTACCTAGACGGATATTCCCAGCAGTCATTATAAAATGACGAAGAATTAACTTTTTGCTCAGATATCTAGGTGCTGGTTCTGTTATTAAAATAAGATATAATCATTATAGCTATGTTTAGTGCATTTGGTTTTTAACTGTCTTTATTGCGCAGAAGTGCTTTAACATGCTAATAGTATAAAGGTAGATAGAGTTTGTTTGTTTGTGGTATTCAAATAACGATTGCATTTTAAGTGGTTGATCTGGCAGAGATTGGGTGTCTGTGATCAGCAGTAGATATAGTATGGCTATTGTGATGACCGTATGTGCTCAGCAGTGAATGAATTTTGGCTAGTATTATGATGAAATTGATTATGTAGAAGAGCTTTTCACGTATAAAGGAACTTCAGACAGAACATAAATATTGCCTAAATGTGATATTAGGGTAATATTTGTGTCGCGGAGAACCTAACGAGTCGCGGAGAACCTAACGGGTAACCGGGGCTCCGACTCGACGTGCAGGAGAAGGAACGGGGTGGTTTTTAATCAGTAAAAGTGACACTCCCTCCCGCCTCACTCAAGCGGGAGCAGTCATTTGATGATTCCCTCTTAAAAAAGGGTAATATTTGTGACTGAGATACTTTGATTTTTAATTATCTAAGGAAGATTTTTTTAACTATTTTTATATTGATAGAATATTAAGATTAACAAGTGATAAAGTGTTTTATTTCATCTCTATTAGTGTAGAAACAATTACAGCGCAACGACCGTAGGATAATCCCAATTCTTATAAAAAATTGTTACGTAAGACTTTTTTTTGTCTAGTCTCTTTTTAGGAACGTCTGCTAAGTTCATAATTACATACATTAATATTTCTATGAAGTGGATAAATACAAGAACTGCTCATACAAAATTAACGTTTAGTAAAATTCTTAGTAAAATCTTTCATAAATGAAAATGTAGGAATCAAAATTTTACATATTATGTTGCTTGAGTTTATTTTATATAGTCTATTCTGTTTTATTACTTTGTTTCATTATATTATCATCAAAATAATACTTTTAAACTGTCAAACACCAAGCGGTCACCGGTGACCGCAACCTATTGTTCTATAATTGTGTCTACAAAACCGGTACTCGACGAGTTAAAATGATGAATTTAGAACTTACATTATTTTAGTTATAGAACCAAATAATTTAAAACTATATTTATTTATTTATATAAAATATGGACAACCAGTAGTTGCTACATTAGGTCTTATATCTAAGCACTTACATAGTAATAAATTTTAAATGCACAACATTTTAATGTGTCAGAACATGCACAGTAGCCTAACGATGACACTTTTATCAGTATTTGTAATAGTTGGAAAGTAACTAAAATAAAAACTAAGAAATACTTAAAATTTAAACATAAAATTAAAAACAGAAATAAAAAACGTTATATACATTCTCAATACCGTATTGCACTTTATTTCTTACAATGCAGTTTTTCTCTAGATAAAATATAGATGTAAAGCCGACACACAAAAAGCTCTTAAAACAGCTATTTAATAAAAAATCTACCATAATCACAAAACACTAAAAGGATTTACTAGATCGGGCAAAAAGTGACAAAAGAATAATAGAATCCAACATTAATCAGTAAACATGAATGGGCAAATATATATTATATTTATTTAATGCATGCAAGTATGTTCCGGGATCAAAGTACGGTTACAGACAGCCTGCAAATTTTTGAAGCATTGCTTATTCAGAATTAATCTACAGTAACATTGAGGAAAACCTCTATAGATAAATTAAGATATATTGTTGTTAGTAATTTTCGTGATGGCCCGGAGTTTTAAGACGTCCCGCTTCTCATGCTATTGCTTTGACTCTGTTTCTGACTCTGTTTCTATTGCTTTGACTCTGTGAAATGAATGTGAAATGAATGAAATTTGTGAAGTGAATGATCGAATCGTTGGCCAAGTGGTCCCAAGTGCGACTGCCGGGGTCTCGGGTTCGATTCCCGGGTCGGGCAAAGTATTACTGGGTTTTTAAAAATCTCAGTAGTAGCACGGAGTCTGGAAATGTGCCCGGTATATGGCATTAGGCTCACCCCCTATTACATGGGACTCATAACGTAAATAGTGAAAAGTTACATTGTACAGTGGCATTAAGTGCTATAATGTGCACCGCTGCCTACCCCTTCGGGGATAAAAGGCGTGATGTTATGTTATGCTGTCTAATACAACATTATAACCAAATTAATATTGTCGCAAGTTAAAATTTTAAAGGTGCAAGAATAATTATATAACAAACGTGACACTATACAATTCCATACAAAAACATAGAAGTACCTCTAATTATACCACTACAAACTAGGAACCAAGTCATTTGCACAGTCAATGTGCATAGCACGTATTAATGTAGTTTCATTTAAAGTGTCATTATAATACTTTAATTGAGATATTTATACTAAATGCGTCATTATGCTGTATTTAATGTGTGATGACGTAAGGCATCATATATACATTGCTGTTTTTCCCACGTTGACTGTAAAAATTATTAGGTCAGAAAATTTTCCGGTTTACGGTATTATTCAGAAATTGGTCAAAACTGTGTTACAAATTGAATAATGTCAATTGTACATGTGTTATTATGAAAATACGTACTCAAAATTTTATACAATAATTTTTCAGATTATTTTTTTAGTACATTATAAAGAAATTATTGAAATGGAGCCCTGGATATTCAAGCCTTTTGAATGATGAAAAAGAAACTAAAACATCCAAACAGTAGGGATGATAACACATTTAAAATCGAATGTTTGCTACGCGATTCTACAAAAACTACACAGGCACAGATCAAATTGTAAATAAAATGTGACATGTTTACAGTCAAACAGCTCATTTAACATATATTATCAGGTACTTTTTTTTCCAACAACCCGAGCAAAGGGCAAAACTTATTGTTTCAAACAAGTAATACGTCAATTGTCTAACTATACTATTATACAATAATGTATGACATGTCCGGACCTCGTATGTAGAGCGATGCATGCGCTAGACAGTACTTTTTTTCTTTTTGTTCAAATTATTATACTGTCTTTTTTTGAACGTTATAAAGATGCATATATGATGTGTTTCGTCAAGATATTGTAATCTTTATACTTTCGCTTGCGTTAATAATATGTAACACGATGATAATGATATGACTGACATAATATATTTATCTCCTAAATTAAAAACTACGTAAGAAGAAACAGGTATTAAACTGTCAAACACCAAGCAGTCGCCGGTGACCGCAACCTATTGTTCTATAATTGTGTCTACAAAACCGGTACTCGACGAGTTAAGTAATAGAAATATTACAATAAACTTTTAAGGTTATTGTAATATTTTAGTTGATTAGAGTGGTTTATTAAACCTAACATAAGAAGTTCAATCTCAAGGGTGAGTTCCTAAATATGATTGAACTTTTTATGAGAATTACCTGCATATTTGGATGTTTCATGTTTTCATCCTCCATTTTACCATTTAACAAAATTATTCATGTGTTTTGTTGAAAAGTTTTGTTCGCATTATTAACCGAAAATTAATTCGTTTTCCGATATTGTATGTATAAACTATGACACAATATAAGTCATTCTTAACAGTGGCTTTCTTAAAATACTCAGTCTACACACGTCATTTCACAACAACCGCACATGTTACCGTTACTGTATTCCGAGTACTCTAATTCGGTAATTAGAATACTATTAATCGAGAAACACATTTCAAGCAACAAAATTCTTCAAAAGGATGTTCGTTTCCCACCTTGTAACTAATTACAGAGTAGAAAACTTAATTTTTTCTAGAACCGTCAAGGCCCCTCCCCTCTCTCGTGCTCTGAAGCCACTTCTAGACATTCAGTGGTCTATGTAAAACAGTGATAGGTTGTCGTCACACAGAATCGGGCATCTGTTTGTGTATATTGAAATATACATTGTGGTACAATCTTTAGTTTGGAAGAAGCCTTATATGGTACTTCAATATAATATTATTTAATGTTCCATACTTTACAGTGATGCATAGTGATGTGCTCTTCTGATTTGTGTATGAGTAAATTAGTAAGAGTTGAGTGAGTGATTATGTCTACGAAGTGCTATTGGTATGTAGCATTACTTGTTTATTTATTCATTTAATATGATTTTATATAAATAAATTTCCAATTTATTCATGCGATTACGTCATCAAATTTAAACAGTTTAGTTAATTTTGTTCCAAAAAAATAAACAATATGAATAAAAATTACAAACCAAATAATACTAATTAAACAGATAATAATAATTGATTCCGGTGACATTACATGCATTTACACTTTTCAAAGTAATTGATAATTAGGTATTTTACGCCTAACACAGACTTCAGCTCAGGAGCTGACATTGCCATAAAAACTAGATTATAAAAAATTTAAACCTAGAATAATTGTGTTTGTAAGGAGAAATAAAGAAATTTATTTATTTATTTATAATTACCCCAAAACCTTAATAATGTAGTCGTATGTATTTGACTAATTTTCTACTACACAACAAAACAAAGAGATTATATTTATTGACGCGATTCAGTTACGTTGCAATTTTTTTGCTGACAAGACGAATGATTTGAAAAGACGTGTCTAAGAGTTAAAAGTAATATAACTCTGTATCATTTGACTGCATTCTATTTGAAGGGGTTTTCCCTGAAGACGGAAAATTATTAATTGAAATATATTCTTAGTTATTACTGTTATTTTTCGGTTCGTTTGATTGCAAAATGATAATTGTATATGACTCGGGCCGTAAGATCTTAATGCGATAAATGATACATGTTTTTTCTCTATAAGCTATGTAATGTAATCGTGGTACATAGCATTTACTACGCCAGATGTTTTAAGCAACTGAATCTACTCATGAAACTACTCACGTGGAGTCAAACAAATACAATTCAAAAACCTTTCTTGTCTTTTACGTTTGATTTTACACTTCAAAAATAATTCCAGACTCCGTGCTACTACTGTGAACAAAAAAAACCAGTATTACTTTGCCCGACCCGGGAATCTAACACGAGACCCCTTGCCCGGCAATCGCACTTGCGACCACTCGGCCAACGAGGCAGCCTTAGAAATATAATGCTCCCATTTCATAGCAGACTTGGGATATGAACATGTATCCATCAGTACCTAACCTAACCTAATAACACATCTGAACATATTACTTGTTTTTTACCGTGAAATAAAATATTTTCTTTCTTTGTTTTGTTTAATCATATCTACAACATAGTACAAGCATAAATTACACGTGGACTCATTTCTAGACCACTTACGATTAGCATGTTCATTGTCTAAAGTGCTGCCGACCTGCAAGTTCAAGTTCAGGACTAAGGGAACCATAATACAGTAATTATAGTATTATAGCAATGAAAAACATAATACATGTTTATCATTCATAATAACACACTTAAATCCTGAAAGTGTACATAAACAAGTATAATTAGTACCTTAGCAAACAATGTTATTGGAGCATCAGTAAAGGACAATGTCCAAAATGGCCCTGTGTAATAAAGAGTATCAGAATATACGATAATTAATCCCCTATTTTATTATATAAGTTGCAAATATTTCTGTATCACGGACTAGCTGTATTCCAAATTGTAGTTTTAATAGAATTTAACGCAATTAGATCGCCATCTTTGACTAATGTCTAATGCCTTCGCCTAATGTAGTAAATAATAAAAAAAGACAAAGCATTTATTTCAATTAAACCATAGTTTGGTACTTTTGAAACGTCAGTAATCGTCATAATAGGTAGTAACAATAATATGATATAGTAATAAAAACTTCTTTATTTCTATACAATCATTCAAACATTCAACATTCGTTCAAATATTTGTAGTTAGGGTTAGATTATAACCTCAAAATCTGATACTTTTTTTAAAATATATATTTTCTGCAGCTAGTCCGCTATAAAAACAAGATCTTCTAGGAATCTAAAAATGATAGGGAATACAATACATAATTATCCGATACTCTTGGCTCCAGGGCCAACAATGTATGAACGTAGAGCAATGTCCTTTAAACCTAATATTTATTTATTATTTATTATTATTTATTTATTTATGTACACACTTTCAACACAGAGGACAACACATATATAAAAACAGAGTACATAGGCCCCACATATTCCAATTGGAATCTCTTCCTGTGGGCCTGTGGCAGGAAAAGATTTCTTTACCTTGCACGCTGCTTATGAGGAACAGTCCTTCCGTGACTCGAAACGTCTAAAATCTAAAATATATACTAGATTTTCAATATATTTATGAAAGAAAACCGTTAATTCTTTACAAACTTTAAAGATTTTTACATATCAGTTTTAACAATAACACGAAATCTATATAAGATATTTGGCTCTCCCATAAGTAATTAAGTCAATTAAAGATTATAATAAATCATTATGCATAGGCCTATATATATATTTGTTCAAATACATAACCAAAAGGTTAAAATAATGTATAAAAATCAAAATTAAATACCAAAATATTCGATGACTATTTTATTTATTTATAAAGTTAGGTACCTACTTAACAATTAATGTCAATGAACAACACTAACTGCGAAATATAGTTGACCGGGATTATACAATAATTACACATATTGGGTTTCCTTAATGCAAGCAATGTGCATTAATTTCAAGTCTAGTACCGGTTCCTGAATCCGTTGTACTTGAAAGTTAATGGATTTTACATGTGATTTTACAGGGCAGTATTTAGAAAAAAAGGATATATAAAATATTAATTCTACTAAAAAATTGTGATTTTTTTTTAAAACATACCTACAAGGAATAAGTATGAAGTTTGAAATTCAAAACAAAGTAATATACATATTATTTGACTCAATCAATAATCTAAAATTCCCATTGTTACTAGTTTATTGCATTCAATATTTTAAATTAATTGACAAGTAACAGACTTTGTCGTTATGCAAATTAAAGAAGAAATTTTATCCTTCCTTAAAAATACTGGATGGCCAACATAATGTTTTGGACTCAACTTTATATATCAGCATAACAGTATTATGTTCAATATAAGAACCTCGTTTTAGAAACATCAAGTAATATATAAAAAAACAACGACCAAAATCAACCCACAGTAACAAAATCTTTTGCGAAGAAAAAGGTACAATTAAAAACAATGTAATTTGAAAAAAGAACATTCCTGTACATCATAGGATTAACAATACTTTTTTCAGCAAAAAATAGACACTAACAATTGAATTCAAAATAGGAACAGCGCTTACACCATAAACCTGGTAACTCGCATTTATTACGCACGTTACCGCATAAATACGTTCGACTATCCTTCATATCCAACAGGCTTCCGTCTGTAGGAACTCATTCGATTTTCGCCTCAGTCCTTGAATGTACCGGTTGCAATATCCGGCCCGTTGCGTGTGCAACCACTGTGCGATCTTATTGCACAATGGTCAGTAATGCATGCCCTTTATTCATGAATCGAGGGTTCCAGGAAAATTTTGTGAAAATTTATCATAGTAGACGACCTCGTCAGGTAAATGACCGTAGGCATTGATAAGAGGTATTAACTTTAGTCCCCGTGTTGGACAAAGGTATCTCTGGAATTGTCGTGGTGGCCCGGAGATTTAAGACGCCTGCTTCTCATGCATGAGTGCGGGTTCGAATCTACCAACGGCAAATACCAATGAGACTTTTTCCGAGTTATATGTACTTTCTAAGATTATCTAGACATCATTGAAAAACTGAAGGAAACACATCGTGAGGAAACCTGGGCTAATAATTTCTAATTATAAGTTTGTAATCGCCAACCCGCATTGAGCAAGCGTGGTGATTAATACTCTAAATTTCTCTATGTGAGAAGAGGCTTTGCTCAACAGTGGGCTTTTATAGGCTGTTGATGAAGATGATCTCTGAATGTTTCGATTTTTGGAAGTTCCTGTATTACAGAGACGTAGAACTAAATCTGAAATATTTTTGTCGATCACACTTTATCAATAACGTAACTATGTTAAATAATAATCAACTTAACACCATGTAAACACATGGTAAAGATTCCTTCCTAGATCGACGCCCATAGTGTTGTTAGGTTTTTATAATTTTTTTGTTCCACAGTATGGTTAAACAATTATCCATCTGGAGCCTATGAAAAACAGTAGCCACGCACGCACAGGCTGTAATTTAATTTAAAAATAATAGCCATTTAAACAATTTAATTTAATAATACTAATTGAAAATCATCCTTTTTTATTTGAAATTAAATTTAATCACAATTTAATTTCAATTAAAATAATAATGACAAAAAATTTGTCAGTCATAATTCAGTCTTCAAATAATTTTATGATCAACACGAAAATTTGCTTATTAGACATTTTAAAATACCATTGTACACGTGTATATAACATAGCATACGTTTTTGTGATAACTGAGGTCAATTCACATTGAAGATTCTAGAATTTACCAGTTATTATAAAATCTGATAATACTAGGTTATTTTAGATGCATCTATTATCATTTAAGTGGGAGAGCCATGCTTCGGCATGAATAAGCCGGCGCGATGGAGTGATGGAAGACGCTAGCGTTGTCTTTCATCGTGTGAGTGAGCTTACCGGAGGCCCCAAAAGGCCGGTAACACACTTGTGACACCTATGGTGTTCCGGGTGTCCATGGGCGATGCCGATTACTTACCATCAGGTGATCCGTCTGCTCGTTTACCGTTTTTAAATCCCATAAAAAATATTAGTCCAGGACGGCTGCTATGATTATTACCGAATTAAAAAAAAATTGGTGTTGTGTTCAGCTGTTAGTTTATCAGTGGAAACTAGGCGAGAAAAGTACTTATACAAATAACATTATGTATTTGTGGAACATTAAAGAAAACAAAAATTCCTCAGTAGATATTAAGTCGTAGTCAGGAACAAAAAGTAGTATTCATAAATTAAATATTTATCTATTGTTCTCTTATTTATACAATTACATAAGATGTTATTACGAAATATACTGTATAAAAACAGTATTTATAAGGAAATAAATAGATTCCTACTAGAAAAAAAAATGGGGTCTTAGGGTCTGAAAAAAAAAACTATTTGACATGACAAGATAAGGT